TCATTTTCTTATCTTTTCTGCCCCACCAGGATTGATTGAGTTATCTAAATTGTGCACACTCTATATCATGCATGTACATGTCATCAGAATCATCTATTACCATTTTATAGTAGGAGAGTGTTCAGTTCCCAGATGCTTCCTCACCTCCCACCCCAATTTCAGATGTGTTTGTTCTAGAACATGATACAGCCCACAGACCTCGAAATAAGGCCTATCTCTAGCAGGTGGCAGGTGTGAAAAGACATGTTTTAGAGTAAAATTCTGATGATGATGATGATAACCAAGAAGGAATAAAGCATATACAGGGTGTACCCTGTTTCCTGCCCCTGCAGGAACTCACTCTTTGCTGCCAACAACCCTTAAGATAAATTCTGCTATTATTTCCATCGCCTCAGAGAGGAAATTAAGACACGCTCCACTCCTACAGACAAGGCAACATCCACCTGAGGCTATTCACCTGCCACATGTCCAACACGGAAACCATCCCCACACGCCACGATATTTTGAATTTAATTTTAAAAAATCTATTTGCAATGAATATTCTAAACAGAAATATATTACTCACAATGCAGATGTTCTTGAATATTTTCAGCTGAAAATTCTCATGAAAAAATGATTTTATTTATTTATTTGCTTTCTAAATAGTTTTTATTTTTTCATTTTTAAAAATATATTTTTATTGATTTTTTATAGAGAGGAAGAGAGAGGGAAGGAGAGTTAGAAACATCAATGAGCTGCCTCTTGCACACCCCCTAATGGGGATGTGCCCGCAACCAAAGTACATGCCCTTGACCAGAATCGAACCTGGGAACCCCCCAGTCCACAGGCCGACGCTCTACTGAGCCAAACCAGTTTCGGCAGAAAAATGATTTTAAAGCTGGTCAGAGCTGCCACTTAAGGAAAACTTTTTTTTTTTTTTTTTTTTTTTTAAATAGACTCGCGTGGCGTGTGGGGAAGGTCCGTCTCTTGCGTCTATAGATGCTTATGGTGTACGATGGGTTAAGACCAGTCAATTCGGTGTTGGAAATGCAGTAATATCTCTGAAAAGGCCATCCGTTTACTTCTGCTCCACAAGTATGAGCGTCTGAGAGGGGAAGGGCAGCACCAGGCTGCAGCACCCGGCTTCTGAGTCAGGCAGACCTGGCCACCCTTCAGGATCTGTGGAACCTTGCTGGGTCTCAGTTTCTTTCTGCAAAATGGGGGTAATTATAGCACTGACGTCATAGAGTTGTAAGGATGACAAGAATTAATATACACTAGGTCCAATGTGTGGTGGGTGCCAAAAACTGGTTGTGCTTTATTTATTCCTTCATTGGTTGTAAAGTAATGGAGTTTCTATGGTTTTAAGAAGGAGAAATTCTTGCTCTACCCACCTGCTAGGTAAACTGCATTTTTCTGTGTGTTTTTTTTCCCTTCCAAAACCTTTCTAAAAAATGTACCAGCATTTATATCCCATGTCTCTGACTATCCGGCAATTATCCATGCTATGTGGATTTCTCAGAAGTGGAATTAAGCCCTTTAAATTCTCACTCATTTGATTTGGGGTGTTTAAACACAATGGAAATGGAGAACCATATTCAGGGTGCATTTACAGTTTCAGAGTTCAAGACTATTCGCTTTATTTATTTGATTAGAATTCACCCTTGGCATTACTTCCAAAACAGGATTTTAGGTAACTTCAGCTTCCCTTACAAAATAGGCCTTTATTTACATAGATGCTGAGAAAGTACCACCAATTTGATAGTTTATGTGCAATTTATTTACATAGATGCTGAGAAAGTACCACCAATTTGATAGTTTATGTGCAATCACCAAAGAAGCCCTTCTTAAGTTTTTTTTAAAATATATTTTATTGATTTTTTTACAGAGAGGAAGAGAGAGGGATAGAGAGTTAGAAACATCGATGAGAGAGAAACATTAATCAGCTGCTTCTTATACACCCCCTATTGGGGGGGTGCCCGCAACCAAGGTACATGCCCTTGACCAGAATCGAACCTGGGACCTTTCAGTCCACAAGCCAACGCTCTATCCACTGAGACAAACTGGTTTTGGCTTAAGTTTTTTTTTAATCAATTCACTGCACACTTAATGTGCAGGAGCAAAATAAGATACCAGGGAGAAAAGAAGAAAAAAAAAAAAAGATCCCTGTTCTGATTTTGTTGTGAGGGAAAAGAAACATACATGTACAAAGACAACTGAAGATTAATGAAAAACAATTAATGAATGATGTGGCCCAGAATCCCCCAAAAATAATGGAGAGGAACAGAATGGAATAATTAGCTGAGTGTCTTATAAGAAAGGTAAAAAAAATAGGTCAAGATTACTATCAGACAACAAAGGTAATAGTTATTGCTGTAAATTATAGAACTCTATCTACATGCCAGGAACGTTGCTGAGCATTTTACATAGGATCAGCACCCTCGGAAATCATTTATCTTATTATTCTTATTTCACCTATGGGCACACCAAGCTGATAGAGATTAAGGAATTGCCCAGGTCACACAACTAATAGGTGTAGAGTCAGGATTCAAAAACCTAAGTCTGTCTGACACAATCCCACATAGGTCTGTTGGGAAGAAGATCATCACTCTTCTCAGTGGCAGAAAAGTCAGAAGGTGAAGAGAGACACCAGCTCTAGAACAGAGGGGCCGCCCGGAGAGAGAGGGAGGAAGTGGCCGCTGACAGTGGCTTTGAATGCTAACTTCCAGGGCATAGACCTAACCAAATAGGTAACAGGACCCTCTCGTGTAGAATAACAGGATGAAAATCAGTTTGACCTAACTAATCCCTGCAGCTGTGGGGAAAGAGACTGAAGGGAGCCCAGTTGGTGTGGCTCAGTGGTTGAGCACTGACCCATGAACCTCGAGGTCATGGTTAAATTCCCAGTCAGGGTGCACGCCCAGGTTGCAGGCTCGATCCCCAGTAGGGGGGTGCAGGAGGCATCCGATCTATGATTCTCTCTCATCATTGATGTTTCTATCTTGTCCTCTCTCTCCCTCTCTGAAATAAATAAAAATATATATATATATTTAAAAACAGACTGGAGGAAGAAGAAACTTGTCTGCAGAGAGAGCCAGGAAGAGGTCCTCAGGCAATGGGCAACAGAGATAGCATGTCAAAGAAAAGGGATTCTCACTCTCAGTATTCTGGTATCCATGTGCTGAATCAGCTCACCCAAAGCTGAGAGCTCAACATTAGATTTACACCTCTGCACTCAGAACTCTGAAAATAAAATGCTTTGACCCTGGGCTTTGTCTTCTAGTTGCCAATGGCACTAAAGATCATTTCCATGATGTGGCAAGGAAAGATGCCATTTATGGAACACATGTCTTTCACTGTATCTTTAAGCCACATTACATCCTGTCACGTTATCATCTGCCAATCTGAAAGGTTATATGTGTGAGGGTTTTTTTTTGTTGTTTGTTTGTTTGTTTGATTTTTAGAGAGAGTGAAGAGAGAGGGAAAGACGGAGAGAAACACTGATGTGAGAGAAACACAGAGATTGGTTGCCTCCTGCACCCACCCCAACCAGGGCCCGGGCCAGGGAGGAGCCTGCAACTAAGTACGTGCCCTTGACCAGAATTGAACCTGGGATCTTTTAGTCCGTAGGCTGATGCTCTATCCATGGAGCCAAATCGGCTAGGGCTGTGTGTGCGTGTGTGTGCATGTGCGTGTGTGTGTGTGTGTGTGTGTGTGTGTGTGTGTGTGTTTCCATTTAGTCATTTCCCCCTACCTTATTACTAAATAGTAATGTATTTATATGATCATCTGGATGAAAATCATTTTTAAATTTCAATTGGAGTTTATACCTGGCACAAAAAAAAAAAATTAGTGATGGAAGAAGACGTTGCTACATCCTGGCAGTCCTGCACCTCTCCTTTCTTGTTGTCTGTTGCCATGACCTCTAGCCCTTCTTCGGTGCCCACTCCTGTCTGCCCAGACTGAAACAGGGCGCTTGGCCTGCACATAGAAATGGCTCTTGGGCCATATACCGCTGGTTGCGAGGCCTTGTCCTCTTGGCTTGGAAAGAGCCACTTGTAGAGAAAAATGTGGAAAATCCTAGATCCAGACAGAGACAAAACTCCCGGGACCCCACAGAGTGTCTAGAATATAAAAACTTTGCTTTGATATTTAATTGTCGAGAAGAAAATAATTGCAAAAGCGTTCGCCTTCCTTAACTGCGTCTTCCTGCGCTGGAGGAGGAGCAGCTGGTCCTCACGCGCAGGCCACTAATCCCCAATCCTGGGCACCCGCCGGGACTCAGCAGAGGAAATTCTATGCCCTCTGGTCACGGGGTGTGCCTTTACAGACTTGGACATAGAATGTTCTTTAAAAGAAGTTCCTTTAACAGACTTTACTGCCAGACTACTCTATAATTCTGGATCTCTAAGCCAAGTATAAAACCTCCAAACCAGAGCTCTAAAACCTCTGGATAAGTGTAGGAAATCTACTCCAGGCATATGACCCTGCCACCCGGATCCCCATTTTACCTGTGTCCTATCCATCCCTAGTCTCTGCCACCTCCTGGAAATCTATACAATACCATTTATTTTTAATAAAAAAATATTACTTTATTTTTTATTTTTACTGAGTTCAGGGAGGAAGAGGGAGAAAGAAATAGAAACATCAATTATAAGGAGAGAGAATCATTGATCAGCTGCCTCCTGCACACCCCACACTGGGGATAGAGCCTGCAACCCAGGCATGTGCCCTGACCAGGAATTTTGAACTATAACCTCCTGGTTCATAGGTTGACACTCAACCAATGAGCCATGCTGGCTGGGCTATACAATATTATTTAGATGCTCACCCCACACCATACACCAAAAGGCATTGTGTTTTGGGCCCCTTGATGCCAAAACAGGTTGATGTTTCACCTGTTTCATCCCTCTCGTTAGTACCAGTAAGGTGATGGCCTAGACTTTAGTGCAGCCAGGGGCCATGAAAAGTAGCTCTGTGTTACAAGAGCCTAACACGTACGTTACTCTTTTCATTTCTAGAAAATGAAGTGCCAGCCCCAGCCCCAGCCCCAGCCCCACCCCTGGAAGGTAAGTAAAGACACTATCTCATCCATTCAGGCTGCAAATCCAGAATGTCTCTCCCGGCATGATTTGGCCTTCACTGAAGCTGGGAGCTTTACTCTAACTCCTATGGAGAAGGTGGATGACCACAGTTGCCATGGGTTTATAATAATAACAACAATACATTGTGTCCATATACCCCTCTCACGTTGATCTAATTTAGATGACACATCATATACTCGTAAAACCCTCCAAGTTATGCCAAAACTGTAGTTGTGCTGATGTTTTGCCTTTGTGGAGGCTGGGCCTCCGAGGGGCTGATGCCTTTGCAGGGCTTTTTCACATAAGCTCGGAGCAAACAAAATGCACACCCCTCTTGTGAGGGTCGAGAGCAGATCTCTCCTCGGTTCTGGAAGATCAGCAGCCCCTTGGCGACCCGGACCCTGCCACCATCAAGCACCTCCAGAAACTCCTCAGCAAGTTTCTAGGAAGATTTGGTGGCCTGAGTCTTCAACATCAGAACCAATTTCTCCAGTTCTTAGTATCCTGTTGTCCACCTGGTGGCAACAACAACAACAAAAAAAAAATAAGAGGTAAAGAGTTCTGGTGAATTTGGCAGGTAGAGGCAGTGCCCAGTGACACACACCAGGTGAAGCCAGCTTTTATACCTACATAGATCCAAGGAATAGAACAGGACTGATAAGATCACAGGCCTGAGTGGAATGTTAAACTCCCAGCATGGGTCTCCAGAGTCATTGTCTATCATGCAAATAACCCTCAAGATGGAGGCGATGTGTGTTTTCCTATGAAGACATCCAAGTGCCTTCCCGCATCTCTTTCTCCTTGAACAGGATGAGAAACTGGCATTCATTAAAGAATTATTCACATAGACTGTAGATACAGAGAATAGACTGATGGTTGCCAGAGGCCTGGATGAAAAAGGTGAATGGATTGAGTGGTATAGATGGATAGTTACCCTATAATCATGGGAATGTAAAGTACAACACAGGGACTAATCAATACTATTCTGATAACTATGTGTGGTGCCAGGTAGGAGTGGAAATATCAGAGGGAACACTTTGTAAAGTATATGATTGGCTAACCACTATGCTGTACACAAAGTAATAGTGAACATAAATGGTAATTGAACATTTTTTGGAAAAAAAATTATTCATAGGGTATTCACCATGTGTACAACTCTGCCTTAACCCTTCAGAAAGATACAGGGCTCTCTCCCAGATTCTTATTGATAACTGGGTACAAGCAAACTGAACTGGTTGCAGTGGAGAACTCTTAAAAACATTTCTGTGTATTCAGTGTGCTTAAGGCCACATACAAAATAGAACTCAGACCAGGGAACAATTCAATAATTTACAACTACTATGTTGAAACATGAAGCAAAGCTCTAAGAACTTCACAGGGCGGTATGTGATTTAATGCATGTTACTTGAGTTGAGAATGTGGTGTGGAGACAAGCGTGGGAGGACACTGTAAACCAGTCCAGCCTAGTCGAAAGCAGGAATTGAATAAGACCTCAGTTGCTAGTGATCTTTTTGCCATTAAGTGTGTAAGGGGATTATGAAGTTCTTCCACCCTGGAGATCATTTTCTGGGAGACAGTTTGAGAAATCTAACTGCTCACAAAAGCCCCTTTGTCTAGCTGACAATACCAGACCACATGCCCCAAACCCTCCAGTAGTATAGAAGAGTATTGCTACATGTCAAAACAAGTGAAATAGGCTCAGTGCCATGAGTTTAAACAGGGTGAAATCAAGTTTAGTTTTCTTTCAACCAGTAAAAATGTGTGACATTCTTCTGAGGAACTTCTCCTTTGAGAATTTCCTTTGGTATGTTTCCTTCTCGCATTTACAGTTATCTTTGCCAACATTGTGTACATTGAGGACCTACAGGCCATTACAGACATAACCTTTCCCTTCTGTTCTTCAGATCAGTAGCTGTCCCTGAGCCACTATAAAGTTTCCCTTATTATGCCATATTTCATAGTCATTGCACAATGCTGACTTCCTGTTGCTCAAACAAGTCTCCTATGAAACTCTGCTCAAAATGTCTTTATTAGTTAACTAAGATTCAGATCTATATTCAGTATAAGAGAGAGAGTTCTTGCTTGAAAGAATTCCTTTCTTACATGTGTCACAAGTCAGACACCATATGAAAGTATTTAAACTAATGTGGTTTTGAACAGAGAGAAATGCAAAGTAGATGGTCTCAACTGATAAAATATGATTTTCCTCCTATCATATTCGCACTCAACTCAACCCAGAAGATTACTATTTGTCCCAAATTATTTTATTTGAAACTATTGTACAATTATAGATTTTATACCCTGGCTATATTATATTATCCTACATAATAAAAGCCTAGGTGGTGTCACATGCGACATCATCACAAGATAGCCATCACAAGATGGCCAGCAGGGGAGGGCAGTTGAGGACAATCAGGTTGGCAGGGGAGGGCAGTTGGGGACATCAGGCCGGCAGGAGAGGACAGTTGGGGGCAATCAGGCAGGCAGGCATGCGAGCGGTTAGGAGCCAGCAGTCCCAGATTGAGAGGTATGTCCCAGATTGGAGAGGGTGCAGGCTGGGCTGAGGGACACTCTCCCTCTACCCCCATGCACAGATTTCATGCACCAGGCTTCTAGTCTATATAATAAAAGACTAAGCAACCATTATGGTGGTACGACCAGAATGACCAATTGATATGATGCACACTGACCACCAGAGGCCAGATGCTCAATGCAGGAGCTTCCCCCTTGTGGTCAGTGTGCTCCCATAGGGGAGCACCACTCAGCCAGAAGCTGGGCTCACAGCTGCGAGCACAGCGGTGGTGGACGGAGCCTCTCCCACCTCTGCGGCAGCTCTAAGGAGCAGAGAGTTAAGCAGTAAGGAGCAGTGAACAGGCAGGTGGTAGGGAGCGAGGGGTCCCAGAGTGCTAGAGGGCACAGGTCGGGTTCAGGGATACCCCTCTCCCCCAAGTGAACAAATTTTGTGCACTGGGCCTCTAGTAGAATCATGATAGTGTAGTATTATTTAGAAATAAAAACTATTAGAACCATTACATAGCACAACACTGACTTCCATTGCCCAACAGTGGATCAAACATCCTTAAAAAGTCATTAAGTCTCTTGTTGGGATCTACAAGGAATTGACCCACATTTTATAATTGACCATGCATTAACCAATTGTCCGCTGCGGCATGACCCATATTTTATATTCTCTTCCATGCCAGCATGTTCTAACATGAACCCAGAGTTGAATGTATTTTAAAATCTGTATTGTTTATACATACGCTTTTCCCAAAAGCGATCAGATTAATTGCCTTTATAAACAGTTGAATGTGACTCTACATTAGACTCCCAAAATTCACCATTTCTGTACAACATAATAAGTGAATATTAATATCATTTATGATCTGTCTGTTTTCATTTAAACCCCCCCCCCCCATCACACAATAAAATACTTTCCTTAAAACACTTTAAAAGTATGCTTGTTGCACTAGCCGGTTGAGCTCAGTGGATGAAGCATCAGCTTGAGGACCAAAGAGTCCCAGGTTTGATTCCAGTTAAGGGCATGTACCTTGGTTGCTTCCAATGTTTTTCTCTGGCTTTCCCTCTTTCTTCCGCTCTCTCTAAAAGATCAATGGGAAAATATCCTCTGGTGAGGGTTAACAAACACAAACAAACAAATAAATAAGTTGTTTTTTTTTAATGTGCTTGTACTTTCCACACAGAACCAAATAAAGAGAAGGAAGCCGGAACTGCACCAGCAAAAGGTGAGTGAAGGGAGGGAGAATGGGGCTGAAGTCAATAAAATTAAAAGCAGAAATAAGTCAGTAAAAGTTGCCATATGGGCTTCGTGGAATTTCTATGCATTATCTTTCATCAGCCTAATTATGTGTTCCTTGTTTTCATCATATCTGTACAACCCAGTCAGTATAATGGCAAATGGTGCTTTGATCCATTTTTATTACACACATTTCTAAAAGAAAAACAACGACGATAAAAAAAAAAATGACAAGTACTTGTTGAGATGCCAGCAAATTAATTGGTAGTTTCTAATTTCCAATCTGCATATGAAGGAAAAGGGGTGTCTGGTCTTCTTGAGAATACACCAATTTGGAAATTCATCCGGACTGCCCAGTTTTTCTTGAATTGGATATTTTCATGTCACTGTGCTAAACTGTTCCAGGTTTCACTAGTAATTTTGAAGGTCAGCATTTCATTTTGTAACACTATGTATTCATGTAGATTTATATAATGACATATAGATAGACAAGACAACCTTAAGCAAACATCACATTGCTCCTTGCTGATTTGGAAACTCATTTATTTCTGCAAAATTATTGTTTTTACTTTATATGTAGTTAGTCCAAACAATGTATAGTCTTTATTACATGGATCCACAAAAATACAAATTTCTTTGTGTCCCTATGGAGGAAGTCATTGTCACATCTGACCATCTGTCTTAAGCTAAGGAGTATTGGTTTTCTACTAAAAACAGTTTTCACAGAGGCAGATTTGACAATTCTGATTTATATGTTTGTATCATGACTTATACATTCATTCTTATTTGTGTAATGAATGACATAGTTTAAATTTTGGAATAGCCAATTATTTCCTGACTGCAATAAGACCTTTTTCTTTTTTTTCCTGGACACCACTCCACAAATGTCAAGTACCTTCTTTCTTACTATGTTATATTTCACTACCTAATGCTTACAATACTCTTGTCTTCTATACATGAGTAAAATACCTTTTCCTTTCTTTCAGTATATTGGACAACTTTTCCTCAGCTAACGAACTTATGTGCTCACAAATGAACATATAATGTTGTTAGTACACTCACTTTGTCCTTGACCTGCAGTGGCTTCTGTGGGTAGTAACCTGAATACTAATCCCGGCTACATGAGACGGTCTGAAGGTTATTTGCTTATGGAATGCAGACAATGCAAACTCCTAGAACTCCTTCCATGAGATGGGTTCAAGGATATTTGGACATCTGGCTGAAGTTATTGTAACATTATTCTCTACAAAGCCGATGGCATACACCTCTGTTTCCAAATTTGGAAAGATGTCTGGGCCAGGTTGCAAGGCTCCACCAACAGAGCAGATGATCTAATCCTAGAGGGCAAGCTGTCAACGTTTAAACAAAGCCTGTGCTTGACCCTGAATGTGAAAAGTCATCCCAATTATATTTGTGTGTTTAATTGAGAAAATGACTTTCTGTGTATTACAGTCAACCAACCAACCAAGCAGTTAACCAATCAATAAAACTCTTCTCTCTGGAGAACACAGTTTGATGAAAGAGCCAGGCCAGATGACTAGGTAGGGCCCCCTGAAATTAATAGCCTTTTCCCCCCTGATATTTGCAGAAGTTAAGCAAGGCCATGGCCACATGCAGTCACAAGCCCAAATACATAAACTGCCATGTATCTATTTTCTCTACATGCGTAGGAAGAAAATCAATTTAGGATAAAAGGTGAAATCCCTAAATAAAGAAGGTAGGTAAATAGAAGTTGTTTCTTTTTTTTTTATTAATATATTTTATTGATTTTTGTACAGAGAGGAAGGGAGAGAGATAGAGAGTTAGAAACATCAATGAGAGAGAGTCATCGATCAGCTGCCTCTTGCACACCCCCTACTGGGGATATGCCCACAACCAAGGTACATGCCCTTGACTGGAATCGAACCTGGGGCCCTTCAGTCCCCAAGTCAACGCTCTATCCATTGAGCCAAACCGGTCCCAGCAGAAGTTGTTTCTTTAAAAAAAAAAAGTATATATATATATATATATATATATATATATATATATATATATATATATATATATTATAGAGAGGAAGGGAGAGAGATAGTTAGAAACATCGATGAGAGTCATTGATCAGCTGCCTCTTGCACGCCCCCTCCTGGGGATGTGCCTGTAACTAAGGTACATGCCCTCAACCAGAATCGAGCACAGGACTCTTCAGTCCGCAGGCTGACCCTCTATCCACTGAGCCAAACCGGTTTCGGTGAAGTTGTTTCTAAATATACAAACTTTTCAACTATTACCCACTTTCATCAAGGAAAGGAAAATTTCAAAGAAAAACACTTAAGCAAAGAATAGACACAATAAACATTGCTGACTGTATGGCTGGGGTTGAGAAAGAAGATGTGCATGAGCATAAGCAAGATTGACAAGTGCAATAGACCATTCCTGCAGCATTGACTAGAATGTCCTTCCCTGCCCTTCACCCTCCCCAGTCATCAGTCCATCTAATTGATTTAACCCTTCAGCTTGGTTTTACTCCTTTATACAGCTTTCCTCTTGACTTCCATCTCCCTTCCTCCTTCTGACTTCTCTTGGACCTATTGCCTCCATTGTTAAATCACTCTTTTCTCCACTTCATCACATATTAATGGTTCATTTATTTCCTTCACTGGGGTAAGCTTTTTGATAGTCCGGGGTCACGTCTTACCACCTCCTTGGGCCCCTCATCTCATTTTTACTAGTTTTTGCCAGAGAGTCACACAAGGCAATCTCCTAATAAATACCTGTAGGAGGAATTTTCATGCTGGCTTATCTGCTGATCCCATGGACAATGGTAATCTAGATAGATTTTTATTTCTATTGGCTTGGCAGGATGATGAACACTGGATGCATATTTTTTTAAATATATTTTATTGATTTTTTTTACAGAGAGGAAGAGAGAGGGATAGAGAGTTAGAAACATCGATGAGAGAGAATCATCAATCAGCTGCCCCTTGCACATCCCCTACTGAGTATATGCCCGCAACCAAGGTAAATGCCCTTAACCAGAATCAAACCTGGGACCTTTCAGTCCGCAGGCTGACGTTCTATCCATTGAGCCAAACCGGTTTCGGCAGCATGCATACTTTTAATAATGAGGTTCAGAATGAAACAATGATGCTATGTATTGAGTGCTCAGGACAGATAGTCCTCAGAACAGATAGATGATGTACAACCAACTCACTTAAAGCCATCGAAAATGGTCATGCCTGGATATTAGTACATTTTCACACTTAATTGATCCCCTATCCAAGTAGTTGAAATATATTCAGTTGATAGCTCCAAGACTGTCACTGTAAAGAATGTCATTCATACCAACACAGCCTTAATATTCCCGGATATTTATGCAACAACCCGGAAATGTTCTGAATCTTTTGATGTAGTCGCAAACTATTGTCTGGTTCTGATATCAATCTTACAAGTAATGTTTGTAGGTGGATGTGCCAAGTTTTCAGGGTTACTAAGAGTCTCTGTCTGGGAAACAGCTGATTTCCCAGAATGGGGTTTTACTATTTATTGATTTGCTTGTTTGCCTCTGGACTTGTCCATCTTGCTATCCTGTTCCTTACTTAATACTGCCCACTTGTCCTGGAATTGAAACAGTAGAGATGGCAATTTGAAAAATAAAAATGTGTTTAACTAAACAGTAATATCCGAATGTACATGTGTAAATCCCTTTAAATCACTGGGAGGCATTGTCCTTATAAAAAATAAAGCTATCGTGACTTAGAATCCTTCTATGTATTCTGAAAGAATATGACAGGTGGTAAAAAAAAATGTAAAGTACTTTTTTTTATTTTTATACCATCAGTGGGCCAACGAACTGTCTTTTATTCTGACATTCATTTATTCAGCAAGTGTTCAGAGGCAGCTGTGTACCAGGCCAGAGTCTAGTGTTGGGTCCTTTCCTCCTGGAGCTGAGTTTGGGAGCGTTAGAGGAGAGAATGACCATCAACAGAATTCAGTGCAATTCAGCTTTGAAAACAGACAGTTGTCCTGGAGAGCCATGTGTAAAGAAGAATGTAGGTGTTTAAAGGGGATTATACTTTTTTTTAAAATATATTTTATTGATATTTTACAGAGAGGAAGGGAGATGAATAGAGAGCTAGAAACATTGATGAGAAAGAAACATCAATCAGCTGCCTCCTGCACAACCCCTAATGGGGATGTGCCTGCAACCAAGGTATATGCCCTTGACTGGAATCGAACCTGGGACCTTTCAGTCTGCAGGCCAACCCTCTATCCACTGAGCAAAACCAGTTTCAGCGAATTATACTTTTTTATGGGCAACCAACATTGAATCCATGAACATAAAGTAATGAGACTGACTTTCTTCTGTGCCTCAACAATGGGACCTGTGGCAAGTGTCAAAACTGGTTGGCCCTGTAGGTGGCTGCAAATGTGCCAGCAACATTAGAATCAGAGATTACTTTGACAATAAGTACTCATTTTAATGCCTAAATTCTGATATATGTTCTTTTAATTTTAGTTTTTGCATCTTATTAACAGTATAGTCTATATATTGTTTGTTAAGCCCAATTGGGATAGTTTATTGCCATTTGATAATCATGGCAAGAAAAGTAAAATCTTTTTCCCAGTCATTAAAAATAACTTTATCACATAAACTATTGTAAATGAACTCTGTGCATATTAAAGAGCTCACATAAGTTGAGTTGAAGCCTCTTTCTTTGGGAATGAGCGTGATTGGCAGAGGAGGAAGTGAATCAACAGAAGTTCCAGAAAATTTCTCCTAAATAATGATTCTTTTAATTTAAAATATGATTTTTATGGTGTTTTTTTTTCTTTTAGGTCTCTTTACATCTGCAATAACACTATCTTCATGCTTCTTACTAGCATGCTAAAATATTTTTGTGAAATTTTATCTTTAGGTATCAGACACCGTCTATTAAAATGTCTCTGTGCTTTATCTGTGTCTTCTAACTATAGATTTCTTTGTGAAGAAGTTTGTTAAAAATTAATATC